GCAGGTCTTTGTATCTTGTGATTTTCTCCAGTTCTTTCTCTTCTATTCTGCTATCTCCAGAATATCTCCAGTCTTCCTTCCTTCCTTCCTTCCTTCCTTCCTTCCTTCCTTCCTTCCTTCCTTCTCCTCCTCCTCCTCCTCCTCTTTCTTTCTTTCTTTCTTTCCTTCCTTCTTTCTCTCTTTCTTTTTCCCTGTTACTTTCTTTCCTCCTTCCTTCCTTCCTTCCTTCTCCTCCTCCTCCTCCTCCTCTTTCTTTCTTTCTTTCTTTCCTTCCTTCTTTCTCTCTTTCTTTTTCCCTGTTACTTTCTTTCCTCCTTCCTTCCTTCCTTCCTTCTCCTCCTCCTCCTCCTCCTCTTTCTTTCTTTCTTTCTTTCCTTCCTTCTTTCTCTCTTTCTTTTTCCCTGTTACTTTCTTTCCTCCTTCCTTCCTTCCTTCCTTCTCCTCCTCCTCCTCCTCCTCTTTCTTTCTTTCTTTCTTTCCTTCCTTCTTTCTCTCTTTCTTTTTCCCTGTTACTTTCTTTCCTCCTTCCTTCCTTCCTTCCTTCTCCTCCTCCTCCTCCTCCTCTTTCTTTCTTTCTTTCTTTCCTTCCTTCTTTCTCTCTTTCTTTTTCCCTGTTACTTTCTTTCCTCCTTCCTTCCTTCCTTCCTTCTCTCTCTATCTATCTATCTATCTATCTATCTATCTATCTATCTATCTATCTAAAAAACTCAAGGCAGCAAACATACCTAAGACTCCCGCCTCCTATTTTCTTCACAACAACCACCTTGTGAGGTAGATTGGGCCGAGAGTGAGTGACTGGCCCAAAGCTGGCTTTCATGCCCAAGGGAGGACTAGAACTTATCATCTCCTGGTTCCTAGGCCAGCACTATAACCACTACACCAAACTGGCATGCACATACATATGTGCATATCACATGCACATATTTACTTTGTGGGCAGAAATTTTGGAATTGGCAGTCTGAGGTTGACAAACTGGGGAAAAGCAGGCATTGCATAGAGTTTTTATCTAGGATTATTATTTCTTCAGTCTATTTTTTTTTCTTTTGAGGAGAAGGGAATCTTAAATTAAGGTTGTTTTTCTTTTAAGTCGCTAACATAAATATGTATATGAGTGTTCAAATGTTTGTATCTAGATCAGCATTTCCTATAATCTGCATTCACATATGCTTAGTCATGGCTTGCTTTATCATGTTTTTGATAAATCACAATTGACTTAATTCACAACTTGTGTCCAACCATGGACCATGGCCCCCATGGTCTATAAGCCAAAATGTTCATATAACATTGATTTATTATTTATTTACACAATTTATATAGCTATCCATCTCAACCCTCTAGGCAGCTTAGAATTCAAAAATCACAAAATATCATAAAAATTATATTACCACAAGGCCCTTAAAAGATATCTCACCATCATAATCCTGCATGTGCAAGGCTCAACTATCAAGCTGGCCCCAACATCCTTAAAACAGCAGTGTCTTCAAGGCTTTCCAGAAGGCCGACAGGGTCAGGGCCATCCAGATCTCAGAGGAATGGTGCTCCATAGAGCAGCCACTGCGACAGACAAGACCCACTTCCTGGGTGTCACTAGATGGCATGGTTTCATGGAAGCAACCTGAAGCATACCCACCTGGTCAGTTCTGGTGGGAAAGATACAGTTGGGGTCAGGTGGTCTTGCAAATAAACTGGTTGTCCAAGTTATTCTTCAAGGTTGTCCAGATCAGGAAGCAGACTCCACAAGAAGACTAGAACTAAGCTTTACTGAGATAGGCTATAGTAATAGATTCTTGCAAAACTGATTGTGGCTTTCCCCCCCTCAGTTACAGTTGAGCTTTAAAAGCCTGGACAAATTAATGGAATAACACTTCTTTTGTCTTCAGGTCAGGTTGCCTTGTTATTTTTGGATGCTTTGGTTATTTTTGTTAGCATGGTAACAGTGATGCTGTTCATGAGATGTTTTTGAAATTAAAGCCTTTTATGACTGCAACACTTTGGTAAAGGCAAAGCCCAGATTGGATCACAGTCTATGCCCCTTTAGGTTCCAGTCACGGTATTACGTAATATTCTTTGTTTCATTTTTAAAAATGATCTTGCATTATTTTATATAGCGATATCTGTGTGTGTGTGTTGTGTAAAATAAAGCATATTAATTTAAACTAATCTCCCTCTCTCTAAGAAAAATAAAAAGATGTTGGAACAGAGACGCCAACCCTGCTGGGTCTTAACCAGCTGGGCTGATATCACAGAAGATAGGCAGTCCCTCAAGTAACCAGACCCTGTGTCATGTACGGCTTTATTGCTTATAATAGCTCTTATCATTATTAGGATTTTTTGTCAGTCATAGGGTTCTTAAAGTATTAAATACTTCAAGAAATATTTATTTTGTATATTTTTAATCTCACTGTGGAGAATGGTTCTGCTCTAGTTACCTCTTGCGAACAGCATATCCCTCATCCACTATTTTGTAACTATAAATGATACAAATCTAGCGGGTGTAATTCTGACCCTTCTGCTTGGCCACTTACAATGGATTTTTTCAGTTTCTGTAGCCTGAAGACACAACAAGACTAGATCTACCATATATATACTTTAGTTTTTCCTCCTTATCCAATAAGAATGGCCAAGAAAATCAGGCTGAGAGGATAAAGTAATAGTGAATTACTTTATTTTTTCAAAGAGATAGTGGCAAGATCTATTTTACTTTAGCTTTGGTTCTAATTATGGAATTGACCTTTTAATGCCTGGAAGAAGAAAAGGGATTGTAATCATTTAGTTCTGTTGACCAGGAAATCTAATGCACATTAGATCCCTTTCAATAAACAAAAAGCTGCAATGTTGAGAATTATTGGATTTTTAATTATATTAATTTTGCTTTTGCAGGGCTGAGGAGAATTCTTAGATCAGGTTTTAAATAACATATGCGTGCAAGGAGAACTAAAACTTGTTAAGAGTACTCAATTTTTTCTTAACTGTGTTATGTACAGTCAATCATGAACATGATAAAAGCTGCATAACAAGTTCAGAATTGTTGTCAGATATCAACCCTGCTCAGTTACTTCTTTTCCATCTAGAGAGGCATTTGGGCCTTTTAAATGTATGCTTGAAAGGGGCAGACAGATTCAAAACACCTGCTTACCCAGAAAATCTTGGATATGAGGTAATTGAAACATTTCAAGCTTAGCCACTGATCGTAATTATGTTGAATAAGTGAGGCCAAGTAGCCTCATAGGATTTTGCAGGGGGGAAGATGGGGCCTGCCCAGGAGTTTCCATTGATTTGCTATCCATTTATTTCAAAAGACAAATGCTACTAAATATTGCAGAAATGTCTAATTATGGAATGTTGAACTTTGGGAATTTGTCTGTCTAAAATAATGGTAAGAAAGAGACATACTGCTCAGCTTCAAGGAATACATCAGTAATGTTGATCCACCACCAAATCCATAATTAGACTAGTTTTCAGCAATGGACAAATTAATCAGAGAGGTTCAGCTTAAATCAACATAAATAGTACAGCTCTGTCCATGAAAAGAGGATATAATTTTACTAATCCCTTTCCATTTTCCATCCACCGTCACAAGTTCAATCTTGTCATCAGGTTCTTAGCTATATATTACACACTTACACAGGGAAGCTAAAATAGAATGCTGCATGTAGACTTGACAGAAGAAAGCAGCTATTAAAAACTGAAATAGCTGTTGTATTGAGGCTACAGCAATTATACTAAATTATCTTCCAACCATCCTTCCTGAAACAATGTGATTGTTTTTTCTTGCTTCAAGAACTAACTGTAGTTGGCTTATGAACAATGACACACACAGCCCTCCAAAATATCTATCTGAATTCCTTTGATTTGTACTTACAGTTAGCCTTGCATAGGTCAACAATAATCAGTGTCTCTCTGTCCACAGAAAGGACCTCCAAAAGGGTCTGACCGAGTGAAGAAAGGTGGGTCCTACATGTGCCATAAGGTAATGCTTTTCTTAAACATTTGTCTGATGTTAGTATGTGCAGGTCCTTATTTGGGTATCCAGTAAAAGCTTATAAAAAATGTGAATATTTGAAATCATAAGCCTATTGGAAGTGGTACTTCTAGATGAATAGACTGAAATCACTTGATGAACAAGTAAGCTCTAGTTTAAGTTGGTGTTTATTTGAGCTAAGATAAAACACCAATTGTCTTCTAATTTTAGCTTGATGGCAATTTAGCTGTCCCACTTTAACCTCCTTAAGACAGCAATGAGCTTGACAATCTTCTTTTTCCTCCAGCAGTCAACCTATATAACTGCCAGCTTCTGGGTTTAGAGTTTTTAAAGAATATCAGAGTGTATTTTTGAGGCAAAGGAAAACTGTTACGGCCATCGCAAGTACAACAAAAATTGGACCACAAAGTAATCTTCAGCAGGAAGCTATAGAGATGCAGCTTGAGAAGTGCTCCTCATTCTTCATCTACTTTTTGTCTCCAAGGTTTTCCACTACTCAACCCAGTGGTCCCTGCCTTAGGTCACGGCTAACAGTATGTTGAAATCCATTTCACCTAAGAGGAAATGAAGAAGCCAAGCTCTGCATTTTTTGCTGCCACTTGTTACTGCTTATTTAACACTATTCTTCTCCTTCAATTTTGCCCGTGAGTTTCTATGGCTGAGGATGAATTTGGCTGTTCTCACCCCTATTATGATTAGCTACAAACATTTTAGAATAATAGTATCTCGGGCAAACCCATATAGATTTTTTTTTAAGAGCTGAACCAGCTATGTTTAATGGAAAAAAATGCCTCTTAGTAGGGACACAGAAATCAAGGCCCGAAAGCTGGACACACACTCCCAAATCATGTCTGCAGCCACAAGGCCTCTCCAAATGTTGGCTTGCTTCCTTGTTTGTTTTATTAGATTTAGAAGGATGTCCAAATCTAAAATGACTTTGGGCAACTTACAAAGTTGAAAAGAGAAATAAGCAAATGAGAGCACGCGAGAGAGAATATATATGCCAGATAAAAGTAACCCCCCAAACCAGCAAAAAACTCCAAACTATAGAAAACCCATAAGGGGCTTATCAAACAGCCTAATTCCAGACCTGGAAATAAAGCCATGTTTTTAAAGCCTTCTGGGACTCTTGTAGGGTGGGAGGCAGATGAATTTCCAGGCAAGGCATTTAACTGTTTAACTGAGTGGACTTGGGGCATCTCACATCCTATTGGGCAGGCGGTCCCTCCAATAACTAGGCCCTTTGTCATGAAGGGCTTATAGATGACAATCAGCAACTGTAGATTCCAGATGGTCTACAAGGGCAGCCCCATGTAGAACATGTTGCAGTAGTCCAGTTGTGACGTGATGAGGGCATGAGTGACTGTCTGAAGGGTCCCCCAATCCAGGAAGGGGCACAACTGGAGCACAAGATGAACTGTGCAAATACCCTCCTGGCCACAGCTACCATCTGCCCTTGAGCAGTTCCTGCCCAATTGTAATTTTTAAAGTGACAGAAGGGAAAATGAATTAAAAACATGAAGGGTAATCATTTTAACTGCATTTAATTACATTAAAATTAAATCATTTTTGATTAAAATGATGCATGTCTTTAAATTAAAATATAATTCAAATTAAATTTAGTTCAGTTGATGCCCTTTTCTTTGTCTTGCTCATGTCTTGGACTGCAGGCCCCCACGCCCCCCTCAAAGGCCAAGCACATCTCCCATGGTGCACAAAAGGGAAAGAATTGCACTGAAGCCATTTCCTCTTATAGTGTATTTATCAGCATATGGAAAGTCGTGAAAGCTCTGCTTAAAAAGAGAACCTCTGGACAATTGGAGATAAATCCATTTTAAAAATGTTTACTCTTAGCAGTCAGAAACCGATTTGAAATAGTTCCTAAGCAAATGTTATAAATGAAAATGTATTCATGTCCCTATGTACCCATTTGGCTAATTCCCAGTGCAATAAATGCAAATGTTTTTGAATAATCCTGTGCAAAACAAAATGATGTTCCCTGTTTCATTTATTCTAATTAAAAATAATGTACTTTCTCCTTTAGTGCTTTAAAAATCCTATTTCATGAGCATTCTAAAATCTTTCTGAGTAACAGAGCCACCATTTTCTACTCCGTAATCAAGTATTCTAACCTCTTCTGCTTGATCTTATTTGGAGGTGAAATTAAAGTCACACATTAATTAGTAGATTTGATTAAATTAACAACAGGATATGGCCCATTTTTAGTCGACTGTACGCAGAGTAAGTTTTCTTTATTAAGGTTGCTAAAAGTCCCTGATAGTTTCAGGTCTTGAAAGTATAGTTAAATAGTACAGAATCTTTATGAAAAATTATTTGTCCCCAGTCTCTGTCCATTTTGAGTGTATAGGCATAATTAAGCTAAATATAAATCAGAGATAGCCAAGACTTCTTAACTTGCATTACAGTTATGTGAAGCACTTTTCCTCAAATATAAAAAGGAAAATCCAAGTGAATCTTTTCCCTCTATTTTTTAGAGTTGTATTAAGCTCCTGCAACTTGTATTTTTTTTTTTTTTTGCTGTACTACGTTATCCGAAAAGCACAAATGCATAAGTTCTGCGTTACATTTTTTTTAAAAAAAATGTTGGATTTTGATCATATTCTAATTGCTTTTGTATGACACCAATAGAACAGGTAATAAGAGATAAAGTAACACTACTAGATCCAGAGTTATTAACTGCTGGCTTATTCTTGTTATTTTGCCTGCCAACAAATGCTTAGTGTGAAAATAGATCCACAGTCAGGCAAACTGTGACAATGTGTTATTTCAGGAAACATTTACACTAACAAAATCATTTTATGCAACTATATAAATATACATATTTCATGTTTGTATAGAAATGTTCTGCTTGGGAGAAGCAGCCATTGTACAAACACAATACTCCTTTTTCTCCAAACTTTCCTATGTTTTTGCCAATCCCAAATGTGCTACCATTGAAATTCTCCCTTGAAAAAGAAATCCAAATGTATGATATGCAAAATTATATATTTTAAGATATCATTTTCTTTATGTTTACATGACACAAGGCCTACTAAATTATTTTATTGGGACATATATCAGGTATAAACATAGGTTTACTTTGTCAGTCAGTGTGATGATTACACTTATGAAAGATACAAATATTACACAGAAGAACATATATAATGATCTTGTTTTTTGCTGATTGTGTCCATTATTTACAACTGTGGAGAAAAAATGAACATACCATTTGTAAAAGTAATTAACAACAACAAAAAAATGGTTTGTTGTCCATTACTGGCAAATTTCTGACAAGCTATATCAGATATCCTTTAAAAAAGGAAAATATTTATATATTTATATTTCAGATTTGGTCCTTGATATTTTTCTTGATATCCTTGAAAAAAACTTGAATTGTGCAAGACAGTATACTATATAAAACTTCAGTTTAAATTATGAAATTTTTTAAAAAAGTGTATTCAGTGTAGGATAAATCAGCCCTTTTTAGATTAAGCTAGAATCCAGGCATATGACCCTGATAAAAATTATATGGGATTTCAGTGTGTAGAAGAGTAAGTAGTAAGTAAGAAGAGTTTATCTTTTCACTTTAACTAAAATGAATGCATGATTGAAATGAATGAATTGGCCTTTGTCCCACTAAACTTTATGTCCCCAGAAAACCATTCAGGTCAGAGGTTTTTTTACATTGCAAATGGGCATTTTTTTCTTTCTTTTTCTTTTTCCAGAACAAATTCCTGGCAAAATATATCTGAAAATGTACAGCTAGTACCTATAAAAAGCAGCTGTCTGGAGAAGTAATGGCTCCATGTTTTACTTCTGATTTGTTTCTCACATTGTTTGTGCTTTTGCCCTTTGCAAAGATCCAGTACTGGGCATTTCTGCAATATGGAACAAAAATCTTTACTTTCCCCACTCTATGTCATATCCTACACATATCCTCCACAAACCATTAACTTTTCAGAACACAGGTGGAGGGCCATAGCAGTAAAGATGGGAAATACTGGATATTGTGCTTTCCATGAGCAGAACTTTCTACAAGTGCAAAACCACAACTGGATATTCTAAAACTGGAGATATCAACCTAGGCTCCACCAGAAGTTTTAGACCCCATCTTCGGTTGATTCCAACCAGCATAACTAATGACAAAGCATTGTGAGAGTTAAAGTCCAAAACATCTGCAGAGCATGAGTGTTTTGAGATACTAGGCCATTGCAAGACTGTGGACTAAAAGCCTCTCTCAATTATCATATTAAAGACAGAGTTGGCTTCTCTTTTTTTAAAAAAAAGATATATGAGGGATAGTCAATGCAGAAATAAGTGCCTAAAACAATAACCCCAGGATCATGATTAACTTGGTGATTGGGGGTCCTATGTATGGATAAAGAATGCATTTCTATCATTTTTCCATCTCTCAATGTATCACCACGACTACTCCCTGTCTGGCATAGATACTGTCACACTCTACTGTGACAAGACACTGAAATCACTATGGCAACAAAGATCTCCTTATTTGCCTACAGCTGCAATTCTCAAATGATAAAGTGGTTTCTTTCTCAAGGAAACTGAAGTGGTTGCTGGGAGGGCATTAGCAATCATGGAATAAAATTAAAGAGGCATTAAAAATTAGAGGAGGAAGTTAAAAGAAATGAACCTGTATCTTCCAATTAGTAGGAATCAAATCATCTTAGGCTGCCATGTGTTTTATCATGATGGGAAGCACCATTCTGGGGACCCTTTCCTATTCTGTGTAGTCTAGCTAAAAAATGTCTCCCTTGGATGACTAATAGTCCTTCTGGTAGTTATCGTATTGCCATCCTGGCAAAGTTGCTATGATATGTTTCATCTATGGGAACACTTGTGGTAATCTACTCATTCTCCTTCCTAGTCCTATTGCTATAGATATCGATGTGCAGCCCGAAGCCAAAATACGCCTGACAGCTCAGCTTCCAATCTGGGGTTCCGCTGCGCTGCTGACAGTCTACCAGACTACTTAAAGTGACAAATCTTGACAGCTTTGGAGGATGGAGAGATCGCACCAGGCATTGCAGAAGAGGATGCAGCTCAAAGATTCCACCTTTGTCTTGCCAAAACAGAAGAAACTGGAAATTCTAAATATTTCAGCTAGCAGCTTGTGTTTTCTTTGATCACTGGTTCTTAAAGAACCTGGGTTGCATTTCCATTTAGTTCACATAACCTGAAATACATTGATTATTGAATTGCTTTAAATTTAAATTAAGAACTAAATCATATCAGTCATTGTTTTGCTTTTTAATAAGACGTTTTAGTCAATTCATTCAAATTATAGATTGATTTACAGACTTAATTAAGTATAATATATTTCTTTAATTTAAAAAAGTGGATCTAATTAAGATAGAATAGCATACAGTAGTTACAGGGAGAAAAAGTCACAGAGGTCATTCTGATCCAAAGAAATTTCAAGGCTGTTTGTAATCATATTTGCAACATATTTATGCTGCAACTGTCTTACCTTCTTGTTCCATTGGTTTCAGTGGGTCTTAAATTCAATTCATATTTTTCAGGATCAATAATTTTAAAAACAAACCATTATTCTGTTTTCTGAAATTTACTGTATGTATGATTTATTGTTGCTTTTCATGAAGATTCTTATTTTTGATAAGTAACAATTTCCTCAGCAGCTATAGCAGAGAGAGTGCCTGACCCAAACCTTGACAAATACCTTCCTTAGGACCTCCATTTTCCCATCCTCACTACCTAAATTCTAGGGGACAGTTTTTCTTGCCCCCCCCCCACTGAAAGTGTTCCACTGGGCAAATATTAAAGTTGCCACTACCTGTGTTCAATAGGCAGCTGGCCCCTTGGGCACCCGGAATCTGGATGGGGCAGAACAAGAACTCCCTCTTCACAAGGACAAGCTTTTAAATAGATGGTCCCAGTTTCCCCTTTTAATCAGGTTACCAGGCCCAAGCAGTATTGGAGTATGTGGGGCAAGTCTAACCCCACCCCCTACCCTACCAGGAATAAGACCAAATAAAATATTTTTATTTAACATAAAATAAGTCCTTGGGGAATAAGGTAGTTGCACCAAGTACTAGGAGGCTAGACCTGCATGTAAAAGCGAAGGAAGGAAGGAAGGAAGGAAGGAAGGAAGGAAGGAAGGAAGGAAGGAAGGAAGGAAGCAACCCTACTAAGGAGAACAGCACTGAAAAGAAATAATGCACCCTAATGTGCCTGCCTAGACTTTCTCTGCCATCTTGACCTGACTAGTTCCAGTTGTCCTAGAGTTTCAGAGCTCAGTCCCAGGCCCAATTAGGAAACATGCTGTTAAAGTCCTTGCTTTTCTGAGAACTTCCACTAACAACCTCTGGGGACAGGTAACTTCTAACTCCCTGCCCCTGAATCCCACCCTGCCTCTCATTGGAAGAAGACAGTGATTTTAGTGTTCTGTATGCAGCAGACCCCTCATTCCACTACAACATTTTTCACCAGCTGATCTAAGAAAAAATGTATTTTTTTCCCCCAAATGGCTCCTTCTAACTATACGATTCTGTATTTAAGGAGCCTGAGGGTTACAGATGGAAATAGCTGTCAATAACTTTTCAGGGAGATACTGTGAAAATCCTGAGATAAATCGTCTCTAAAATGCACATAGAGAAAATGTGAACAGAGATAGGCATCTCGGGTTATATTTGAATTACTTTTCCTACACACCCTTACTAGGGAAGTGTGCTGTTGACGTTAATAGGGCTTTCTTTTCAACAGGCCTTTGTAGGGCTGTGGGAGGTATCTAATAAAACTTTGCAATTCTTTGGCTAAGTGTGGTTACTCAAAGAAAGGGGTGTGTGAAGCACTGGGGTGACAAAATGAAGCGAGCAAATAGTAAATAATGTGATGCAGTCCAAGTCCTGGCTTATTGTTTTCAGAACTTTCAGCAAATGCTACTTTCAAACTGTTCTCCACTTCCATGAGTACTAAGAACACAAGCTAGAAATGTGTAGACAACCAAGGAGCCATAAGGAGCCTTTCCACAAGGAAAGACATCTATACAATTCGTTCATCAGATAGAACTTTTGAACTTCACTTTTTAGAGAGTTCTCTCCATTTACCTACAATTTATGTTTTTCAGAGTGTAGCATTTTTCTCTCTCCAGTCACTGACCTATTTGGTTAATTTCCACACCATAAAACAAAATGAAAGGTATTTTTGGGTGGGGGAAAATAAACACTAACTGTGGAAAGTGCTAATATTGTGAGTTGAGCAGGTGTATTCATCTCATAGCTCTAGATAATTGAGTTCACGTAATACTTGAAACACTGAAAGGAAAATTGTGCTCAAAGTACGTGAGGGGGTTCTTTTGAGAAATGATACACATCAACAACAACAGACAGTTATCTTCCCTGTGTTTCCAGGGAGGCTTTTATTTTATAAAAATTAACAAACTATTTGTTTTTCTAACTTCTACCTTACAACCTGAGAGCCAGTTTGGTGTACAAGTAGTCCTTGGGTTATGATAGCAATTGGGACCAGAATTTCCATCGCTAAGTGATGTCATAAAGCACAATGTCATGTGATTGCATCACTTAGCAATAGCAATCCCAGTTGCTGTTGTAATTGGCAGGAGTCCTAGACAAACAGCCGGAGGGTGAGAGCTATGGATGGGGGGTAGGTAACACAAATAGGCACTAGGGAGTGTGGGTGAGTGCTGCAGGTGGGTGCTAGGGAGCATGGGAAGGTGGCAGGGGGTGAGTGCCACAGCCAGGGAACATGAGTGGGTGTCATGGGGCAGCAGCAGCAGGACAGTTATGAGGGCCAACCCAATTTTGATCATGTGACTGCAGTGGCGCTGTGATGGCCAGAACTTTGAGGACCGGTCATAAGTCCATTTTTTTCATTGCGGTCATAATTTTGAACAGTTGCTGAACAAATGGACATAACCCAAGGACTACCTGTAGTGGTTAAGGCACCAGGCTAGAAACTGGGAGACCATGGATTCTGGGGGATTAATGGCAGATTGAGCACAGCTCAGTTTTTGCGAAACTAACAACTGCGGTGTAAATAGGAGCCAACAAAAGGTCTGGCTCTTTGGAATCATCTCCAGACCAAGGGGATGTCTAGATCACCCACAAGGACTCCTTACAGAGGCCCCCAGTGAAGAGATTGCAATTTAGTAATCCTCAGTGGGTTGAGCACTCAGAGTCATGGGAAAACATCAAGCCCAAGCTGCAGTTCAGAGCCTTTAGAAGGACACTAGATTTGCTTTCATTTCCCCTGGGAATGTTTTAGCTCTGAAAATAAACAAAAGATAAGACTGGGCTTTGAAGTTAACTAGAGGGAAG